TAGGTAAACGAAAGTTTCAAATGCTGGTTGACAGAACTCAAATGCTGTAGAGAAGATTTCGTAGTTCAAGAAGATTATTACTGTATGTTTGTACAACTATAATCTATATCACTAGAAAGTAATGTAGTTTTTAATGTTTCTTCCTGGATCGCCGTGCTCTGTGACTTATTTCAATACATCAAATTAACCGGCCCTGCCTCGCGCCTCGTCTTGGCAAAGCTGGATTGTATAAACAGCCCCTCATTCAGCAAATTGCACATGCTACCTTTGAATCCCACAGGCTGAGGTTATTTAGAGCTACCTTTGAAGTTTCGCTGGCGAATGCGCCCCAACCTTGTCAATAACATTGTATTTGGTGCGCCGTTTGAATATATATTGCCGTTTTTGTCTCGTTCCAGTGTCGCATCTAATACAATTAAGTTCGGCACATGAAGAGTACGCTATCTGAAACGGGCCATAATAAACTTTTAATACGACCTTTGTTTGACTTGCTTTTGCATGAATGCAAAGATATATATACCATACGTTAATGACACGTGCACTTATTAACCGTTTTAACCCAGGGGAAAAACGTAAGCTTACCTAAATTTAGGCAAATATACCATGATTACAAAATTACTGAAACCATGCAGAATGTCCTGTAAACTAATATCTTAAGAACGTATCAGCAGTATTTGTAACAAAATCATTATAACACAAGCACTCAAGGGTTTCCGTTCTACGTGGCGGTGTTATTTCCTGGGATGGGACAGTAACAATAACATAGACAGTCTAGAAAATTGTAAGAGCTACAAGGTTCATTAATATATTGCTATTCTATGCAAATGCGAGTTTAGATTCACCCATGCACGTCCTGCATGCGTCTCACATACAGTTCATTTTAGTACCCATATACGAGTGTATTTACCACGTCAAACCACACCTATTTGCCTCTTGTGTACAAGGACTGCACTTCAGCACTTTCCGTCGCAAGTGGTATTCAACAAATTGGCTCTGTACTGAATTGGAAATCGTCTCAACTTGTATTATTGTTTTATTAAGTTGTGTTCGTTGTACTATTGTTATAAGTTGCATTAAACTCCTACGATTGATCAAAAGGGACATGCTCTCTATAATCATGCATGTATTTGAATTAATTCATTTTGGTTGTAGGCCTATTAAAAATATACCGGGTGGCGCAAGAAGCCAAGTTCTTCTGTTTGATTTAGTTTAATTAACTTAAAGTGTAAAAGAGCTATTAGAGTTAAACAAGAATTGCATTCAGTCTATGTCTAACTTAAATTTGGATATGCGCCATGTGTATCTTTATGCAATATTGACAGAGTAGCTGCGTTTAAATTTGAATAACCTTTTTTGGTAGTGTCGCGAGAGTAAACCAAAAACAGCCCATCAAATATTAATATAGCAGTAACGTACCAGTGTTTATAGATACACTAGAGTCAGAAAGTACAGGTTCGTTTCCAGAGACCTGCCCAAAGCCGCCGGTATCAGCTCAAGAGCATTATTCATCTTTGCATATTCTATAAACAAGTCGAAACTTTTGGTCCTTCGTTAAACGGAGGCGTACTATTTTATAAAAAAAAACACGCGATGTTTCTTTTTCAGAATAGAATTAATATTTTAAATTAATTAAAACCTTAATTTAAACCATTCTCTTATTAAAACGAATACTTACGATAAAATGGTAACGGTTATCAAATTAGTTTAATAACACTTAACAGCCGCTTTTAGCTAATTCTCGAAATGTTTACTCATCACGTGAAGTTTAAACGCAGCTCTCTCGGTCAATATTGCATGATAATGTACAAGGCGTTTTTCAACATTTAGCTGTAATGGCCCTTTTAGTTTTTAAGTGAAAATAAATCAAACCGGGTAACGTTTTTTGCGCCACAAGGTAGAAAATTTAATTTGTTCTTGCAATTTTTAGCTGAAGTTATGTTCTAGCAATATTATGAACAGTTTAGTTTGCATAATGAGAAATTAACAATAGTTTCGGCCAAATTTGAGGCTTTCAGTTACAATAGAGTGCTTCATGCAGTTGGATAGGAAACTCATGATCATGCACGCACGATGTTTTCAGTGTGTTGGTATGGCGTCTAAAAATTGTTGAAAATTATGACATCACCAAATCCAAAATAATTCCACGTTTAGCAAAAATACAGCTGCGCACTTTTGTACAAAAAGTAAGAATATAACGATGGAATATTTAAATATCGTGACTATAGAGTATAATATTGCACTACAGCTGCCTTTCCGTTCCGCTTTTAGTTTCACTACCGCTGCCGTTGAATACACATCTGACTGATTGACTGGTGGTACGTATATCATGGTATAGTTTCGTAGTGGCAATTACTGGTTCAGCAACCATTTAGCATTCCGTATTCGGTTGTTGTAAATTGTTCAGTGCTTATCGCCTTTATACAGGAAAAATGGTAACCTCGAAGGGATTGTAAACGTCTGCTGTCTTTCTTGATTTAGTGCATAAAGTAAACTACAGCTATTATTAACCATGCATTAGCTCACTCATAGATCATTTGCAGATTTACTTGAGTAGCATGGCACTCGCAAAGCTTCGACTATATTCTTTTGAAATCGAAGTAGACAGAAACACTTCAATACTACGTAAGACTGAATCAATTTCAATACATTAAATTAAAGAATAAAGTCGAGACTATACGTGTATAATGGTACGCTTCAGTTATTCTCCAAATGGTCTATGCTTTAAATTAACAAATTACTTAATAAACCGCGTAGCTAATTTAGAGTAGTTGATTTATGTAACAATAAACACACCCAGAGATTTACCTGCTGCACGATAGGGAAACCTTCACCTACAGACAAGTTCGCAAAATATAGCTAAGACGAACATCACGTAAACACAAGATTTGAGTTATCCAATGAAACTAGAGAACAAGTTATCGAAATATTAACCTTAAATTACGGGAACCACTGAGTATTTTGATAAAATACAAAACAATAGATACTCCGAAAATTGAAAGCATTTTGAAAATTTATTTCGACGTTTCGACTAAACTATAGTCATGATCAGGAAATGAATGAATCATTCATTTCCTGATGATAACTGTATAGTTTAGTCGAAACGTCGAAATATATTTTCAAAATGCCTTCAATTTTCGGAGTATCTATTGTTTTGTATTTTACCTTAAATGTTGTTATCATGTTTAAATAGCTTGAGTTTAAGAATCTTGAGTTTGCAAAATCTTAGTAAAACTATTCGGAGTGTGTTTAATCTTATATGATGAAAAAGCTAGGCTAAACTCTAAACTATGAGAGGCAGTGACAATAGGCTACAATTTTTGCTAAGATGATAATCTAGAACTGTATATTCCTGAACAAAATGTCTTTGTTAAACCGATATGGGCCTGATCCATTTTCAGCGCCCACGCAAACGATATTAACTTATTATGTATACAGTACAGTATATTATATTAAACTTATGCTTTCTTATAATGTAGGGTTTGTTACTAATAGATTATAATGTTGACCTAACCGAGGGAATTTGCAAAAAATGCAACTATACGCCTTCGGTGAGGGATCGGACATGCATACAGCTACATATTCCAGTTGCCAAGAGCTAACCACCGGTTCATGTATAATAACATTCATACACTAGGTGAGGCCAGTGTATGGTATGAGTTTAAATATTCTAGATCTTCGGCATCTCCCTCGATAACAAACTTATACCCACTCAAAGCGGAAAACGCTTGATTAACAGTAGCGTTGATGTCACGAGGGATTTATTTTGTTGAAATTATCCGTCATGAAAAATGAAACTATAGGAAGAAATTTATCCGTCATGGAAAATGTAATTTTCAGTTACTTACAGTGAGTATATATCCGTATGCACCTCTTTACACAACGTACATTATATTGGCCAGAGGCTTAACTAGAGCGTTAATTGGGGGGGGGGGGTATATTCATATATTCGTGTTCTGTCCGACGAATTTCTTTTGAATTTCTTTATTTTTAAGTTCATTTCAAAAGAAATTAGTCGGGCAGAACACGAATATATGAATATACCCCCCCCCCCTCAATTAACGCGCTAGTTACGCCACTGCTATTAGCACTAGAAAAAATGGTGAAATTCATACTGAAATTCAATTCATTTGAAATTGCACCACTATATCTATATATGTTATTTCCATACTATATCCACAGTATGGAAATTGTGATTAGTATGAAAATTGGATTTCCGTTCTATTTTCACCTGAGATCCATACTATTTCCATTGTAGGAATTTAAAATACAATTTTCGTTGTAAACGTGACGCTGTATAGAAATTAGAGTGGAAGTGTAAATCACAAGAATGACGTGGAGGACGACCTAGCCAAACTGTGAGGAAAATTGCCATGCCCTTTTCGAGTCGTCTTTGGTTGGTCGTGCTTTCTAGGTATATGTCTAATATAAAGACAAAGACGACGGAAAGCGCGTGACAGCAACTCCTACGTTTTCAGGTCAATGCACCTTTCGTGAATCGAAAATGGTGAGTCTTGGCTCTGGAGATAGATTTAGATATTGGGTTTAGAGCCCCATATCTTGTTTACCAAATCATACACTTACATCGGTGACTGTGAAAGACCTGCTTACAATTCTAAATCTATTGCTGTGTAACACGATAACTAAGAACTTTCCGGAGGGTAGGGGCATCCTAAGAAAAAATTAGAACTGCCCATTTCATAATAGCTGCTTCGAGATCCGGCTTGTGTCGTATGCACGAGCCATCTATGGGTGCGGGGATAGCCCTAATACCTCTAAAACCGAACGATGATATAATGTGATTCGAACATAGTTATTATTAGTTAACAGGTTAAGATGTTTGTTTGAAAACTAAGAAAAGAACAAAAATTTATATTAGAGTTTATAAACATAGTTAGCTAAAGCATATTGTGATAGTCAATTTAGTATTTTCGATATCAACTATATGTAATAAATACTTAATATTCGCCGAGACGAAGACGAGGTGAATATTCTCCGATAATCACCGAGCCTGAGGTGAATAACTATTTCAGTATTTTTGCACAAGTTTTTTTTGTGTTTTTCTGGTCTGAATTCATTTTAATTTCGCTTATTCCTTTATCACTAACTTCAACAAAACAGCTAGCCGCCATTTTCAAAATTTCGATTTTGTTATATTCACCTGTAGGTGAATATAACAGATTAATACGTCAAATTTGACCAATCACCTTGTAGGATTTCTCATGTTCACTTGTGCAAAAATATTAAAAACACTTAATCCCCGAGCCAATAATTACGGCGCGCAGCGCCGTTCAGGGAGTTAGCCCGGGGCGAGGGTACTAATTCCGCCCGGCAATTTACACTCCGGAAAGAGAAGCATTAGCGAAGTCTAACGTTCATCACAGATCGCGGGCGTGGGTCACCAACCGTGGGTGGTCATGCATTCTCACTGATCTCAAAAATTTGCATGCTGTTTGCCAGGAGTGGGATAAACAAGATTTCAATTTTCAAAAACATATATTTGGAAAATCACGTTTCACACAATGAGGTTTGAAGCAATTTTTGTTTGAAGAAATGAGAAGAATTGATTAACTGCAGAAAATCGTGGAATATAGGGCAAGTTTGCTTTGAATGTTTAATGTTAATGAATTTTGTTGCTTTAATTTATTGCGTAATTTAGTGCTTTTCAATGAAGTTGTATTAAGGTTTGCTAAATTACTCTGTTTAGTTTAAGAAAGAAAGGTAAAATGTAAAGGAGAGCAAATTAATTTGAAAACCGAACTGAAATTACTTTTAATAACATTAAAATGAATATTTCAAAACATTTTGCGAAGCGATTCAGGTTACATTTTACTACACAAAATGCAGAACAACATACCTACAGTACATATATATTTCGGCAATTCATTGTTATATATAGTTAAAAGCAATAATATTTCAACTATTTTTGGCGTGTTATACCAAGATGCCATGGCAACACTGACGTAAACGCGAGCCTGCATTCAGTGTTGATCAATTACTAATACTTCTTGTTAAATCAATGTTTGGAAATACATGCGAGGGGTTGCTGCATGCATGTATTTCTAGTAATAAACCGAAAACGTAAAGCAGTTTAATTAACAGTCGTTCAGGTTGGACAGTTCATTCATAGTTTATATATGGGCTTTATGAACTGATCAACATTTTTCGGAGCACATCAAGATTTTAATTGGCAATGTAGCAGAGAACTGGAGAATCAAAGCAGGAACATATAAATTCCGGATTATAATTTTTCCCGGAGAAAGTCTTTGCACGAAATTTTTTTTAACTTTCTTGGTGTACGTATAAGCCGTATAATAGCCACCGCTTATTATTAGTGAACTATTAGAGGGCTTGTTTACATTCCCGTCTAAAAGGGACATTAGAGACCTTACGATTAGGCAACGCCAACGCCAACGTCTGGGGACTGGAGCGATCGCGCGGTTGACGTTCCCGTTTCCGGCTTAAATTTAACCTTACGATTGATTGTCAGAACGTGAACGTGTATTTTTCACTGTACAAGACTAAAACTTTATGTTATGCCGAAACTGCGAGACGTTATATCGTTATGTCGATTATGCAGGTACCCCTATGTCCATCTTTAAATGTTAAAACATTCCTTTTATATGGAAAACCTCAAATCTGATGGAAGTATTGTTCAAATTTGCAAAAATGAAGAAGTAAATGCTCTCCTTTGGGGACGGTTCTGCTAAAGCATGATATACGTTAAGTATTGTGTTTGAAAAAATATACAGCATTTTCAGGGCCGTGAGAAGACTGTTGATTTTGGGGGAGGGGAGTTGTCGAACCCCTTGAAGGCCTGATAGGGTGATCCTGGAAAATATTTGATTTTCAGCAAGTTTTATAGTAAACTATTTATGATCATAATAAACACATGCATTTTGATTTATTTTCAGCCAGTACAATTGCATAGACTCTATGCATAATGTCTTGTTTGTATTTGGGACCTGGGGACGAGAATCTCGAAAATGATGCTGTAACGTCAATCCTCAGCTTCTAAACGTTAGCCACTCCCCCCTTCCTCTCTGCATGGTTTCTACCGTCATGTACCTTTTGCATCAGGCAAAATTGTTATAAACCTTGCATTTGGTAAAATTCAAGGAATTAGAGTTTTGCTCTTTCAGCAAATTAGGGTAGATGCGATCGTATTCGAACTTTAACATGGCTAATCAAAAACATAAGTCTAAACTGATCTTAATCGACCTTCATTGATAAACTAATGTCCGAAATAGACCTTAAACCTCTTCAACCAAGAAACGAAATTTTATTTTACAATCGTTATGTTTTGTCGAAACTATCCTGGCATTTTACTGTTGGTACGATATCTAAAACTTGGGTAATCGAAAATGTCGATTCTCTGGTGAACAAGTATATGTCCGAAAATGCTGGAAATACCTATATCTGGAACATTAAGTAACTTTTTTCTAACCCATAATATGTTTGGTCTAAATATCCTCCCTCATGCATTCAGTTCATTCAGTGTCAAACAGTTCTACGCAATGCCATAAAAACATGTCGAAACGATTCAATAAACGATCTGTGGAAGTTAACTAACAATCATACTAACATTTAAAACGATCGCTACAGTACAATTCAACCAAAGAAGTTTCAAAACATTTCCATTCTGAACAAGAAAATAAACTTAGGGACCGTTTGAAATGTCAAAGTTCCGTTTTCACAAATGTTTCTAAATTCTCCCTATCACGACTTAACGCAATCTGGTCAGTATCGCAATCAAAGCAAACCAAAGAAGATTTTCAACTTTACAATTCGTTATATAAATAATACTCTTCCTACCCAAAAGAACCTCAGCAGATGGGGAATTTCATCTAGTTGTGACTGCTCGTTCTGCTTACACCCTGATTCACTTCTAGACGTTGTTGCCGGTTGTCAACATTACCTGGAACGATTTATTTGGAGACACGATTGCATACCAAGTTTCTTGCAAAAACTTTTCAAAGTTGAAACGAATGCAAATTAATACTTGTTGATCTTCCTGGATTTGAAAGCCCTCGATTATTACGGGAGACGAATGTCGTCCTGATTTACTTGTTTCCACATCAGACAAACACCTCTACATTGTTGAACTTACCGTAGGCTTTGAAACAAATCTCACAAACAATGTTAACCGCAAGAAAGCTAAATATAATACCCTAATTAGAGAACTGGATAGAAAATTTACATCTGCTAAATTTATAAATCCTTCTGTCAGTTCGCTCGGGGTGTTTGACAAAGAATGCCATACATTCGTAAAAATGCTAAATTAAGGAATTAGGACTACAATCCTGGTTAAAAATCATTGGCGCACTTGGTCGAAATAGAATAACCTTTACTTCATTTCTGATTACCGTATACATACTTGCCCATTTTATGCAAAATTTCATGTCCAAACACCTCCTATCCCCCTTATCAATGTTGTTTAACACCTTGGACGTATAAATCACTACACACAACATTGAACGGGGGAAAGGGGAGGGTTGCTATGCTTGTTATTGATGTGGGAGTCAAATTTCGCACAGTCAGTGTCAAGTGCGCCAAGATTGTTGACCAGGATTGTAGATGATCAACACCAACAATATTAATCAACGATCAACGTATTACATATTTTGCTGTAGGAATAAAGAATGCAAAAATGCCGAACTGATGAACATTAATTTAAAATAACTATCCATAAATAATTAATAATTTTTTTGTATATAAAAGTATAACTGATTCAAGTAGACAATAGCTGTTATCGTAATTGAATACACTGCTGCGGAATACCAGCGGTATCTCAGTGGAAGTACGCACGAAAACGTGGCTAAAGGGTAAAAAAAACACAAAACATGACCCTATAGCCTCGTATCGATGTTAAAATAATGCAGATACCGATGGTACGTAGCATAGACGTATTCAATTACGATAACAGCTATTGTAGGTTACTGCAAGAAGTAAGATTTACATAATTGTATATATCTATAAATGTTCTATTAATAAAATTTCAATATTATTATTATTATTATTATTATTATTATTATTATTATTATTATTATTATTATTATTATTATTATTATTATTATTATTATTATTATTATTATTATTATTTTTATTATTATTATTATTATGATTATGATTATTATTATTATTATTATTATTATTATTATTATCAAATTTCCGACCGATCACACTCGAATCTATACCGCTTAAAGTATTTACATCATGTCTACGTAACGCAATGTACTCCTTTCTCACCGCCAATAACTTTATAGAACATAACATACAAAAAGGCTTCACCCCGAATCTGTCTGGTACTATGGAACATACTGCGCAAATGGCTAATATAATCAACAAAGCTCGGATAAAACAACGTTCACTTGTCATCACACTACTTGACCTCAAAAACGCTTTTGGAGAAGTTCATCATA